TCCATCTACATATGTAGGTGGATCTGCAGCTGCTTCAGTTGAGACAGAGTTTGAGTGTTTGGGGACTGCACGGGCAGCATCCTTCTGCTATGAGGATCCTGACCCGGATCAGGACCCGGGGCAGGATGAGCTCCAGTCACTTGCTGCTTTCTTCCTTCATTTGAAGGAACAAAAGAAAAGCAAGTCTGATCTCATCCTACTTCGGCCCCTGATCAACCACATCAGGATCAAAGGGTTATTGGATTGTGGAGCCACCAGGAACTCCATATCTCCCAATGCTGTAAAGAAACTGCATCTGGGGATGAAAGTTCAGGAGCTGCAGCAACCTCTGCTGGTCAGAATAGGTGACTCCACAGTGCTCACCATCAGGGAGAAGGTCAGGGGTATCCCTGTTACCTTCGATAGTGCTGGAGAAGTCCGACACAGTCTGAACTTCTACATATTCCCTGATCTACCCTTTGATGTGGTGTTCTCTATGCAGTGGTTGAAGGCAGTCAACCCTGGCAGATCCCAAAGGTTGAGCTACCTGATAGACAGGGGGTGTATCAGCCATGCATGATTGCTGCTGAACACCACCCTAAATCGAGTTGCTACTGTTTGAGAGCGAGGGAGTTTTATGCTCTCTCGCGCCAGTACGACCATGAGCGCCTGTTCTTGGCTCTGGTCAAGCAGACAGACGCTCCACCTGTTTCCTGTCCTCCTGAGATATAGCAGGTTGTGGACCAGTACGCTGATTTGATGCAGGAGCCCTTTGGGTTACCCAACCGGCCAACCAAGCATCACATTGAGCTACTACCTGGAGCGGTCCCTCCCAAGGGCCGCATCTATAGGATGTCCCCTGCTGAGCTTGAGGAGCTCAGAAAGCAGCTTGAGACCCTGACCAACAAAGGCTGGATACGACCGAGCACTTCTGAATTTGGGGCACCAGTCCTCGTCGTCCCGAAAGGGAATGGAAAATTCAGGATGTGCATCGACTACAAGGGTCTCAACAAGATCACTAGGAAGAGTACAGAGCCACTTCCTAGGACCGATGACCTGCTGGATATGGTGCAGGGCCGCACAATGTTTAGCAAAGTCGATCTCAAATCTGGCTACCACTTGATTGAGATGGCGGAGGAGGATGTTTATAAAACAACCTTCAAGACCAGGTATGGTACTTTCGAGTTCCTGGTCATGCCATTTGGACTTTGCAACGCCCCAGGTACCTTCCAGACAGAGATGCACCGCATCTTCACGCATTACCTGGACAAGTTCATGGTTGTCTACCTGGATGACATCCTGGTATTCAGCAGAACTGCCAGGGAACATGCGGGGCACTTGGCTCTTGTCCTTCAGTCATTACGTGACAGCCAGTATAAGATCAACAGAGAGAAGTCCTCCTTCGGAGTTCCCTCTGTCGTCTATTTGGGTCACGTAATCTCTGGAGATGGCCTGGCTCCTGAAGCAGCCAAGATTGCTGCTATTCAGGAGTGGCCACGACCACAAACAGTGAGGGATGTCAGGTCCTTCATGGGTTTAGCCTCATACTACAGAAAGTTTGTCTAGGACGTTTCTGCAGTGGCTGCACCCCTGACTAACCTAACAAAGAAAGACACTCCTTTTCTTTGGTCCATTCCCTGTCTGTTGGCCTTCACACGACTCAAGAAGGCCTTGACTCGTGCACCAGTGCTGAAGTTGCCTGACCCCACTCTGCCATTTATCATGACCACTGATGCTAGTCATTATGGCATTGAGGCAGTTCTTCAGCAAGATGATGGGAATGGTCTACGACCAGTAGAGTTCATGAGTAAGAAGATCAAGACTCAGAAGCTTCAGGACTCTACCTACGAGAAAGAGTTGTATGCTCTTGTTTGTGCCCTGGAACATTGGAAGCACTTTCTCCTGGGAAAACGCTTCAAGATTTTCTCAGATCACTCCCCCTTACAGTGGATGAAGTCCCAGGGAGAGTTAAATGATAAGTTGGCACGATATATTCAGTTCATAGACATGTTTGACTTTGAATTGAAACATAAGAAAAGTTGTTACAACAAAGTAGCAGATGCCCTCTCTCGTAGGCCTCTGACTCTTTTGCTTTGATCTCCTCTACTCACTACTTTGGAGAGGAGACCCGTCAGACCATTGCTCGTCTTCTGCCTCAGGACCCGACTTTTGGGCCCATAGTGAGAAATCTACAAGCGGATCCCAATGCTGAACCCGGCTATGCCCTGAGTTCAGACTTGTTCTACACCTACAACAGAGGTGAGGAACGCTTGTGCATTCCCCAGGATCAGCGGCTCAAGACACTGCTGATGTCAGAGTGTCATGATGCCCGCGGACACTTTGGGTTCTTAAAGTCGTATGCAACCCTGTCTCAGTGCTTCTTCTGGAAGGAGATGCGGAGTGAGATGCTGCGCTATGTGGAAACCTGTGAGCTTTGTCGAGGAACAAGGTCCAGTGTAGACCTTCTCTGGGACTACTCAAACCCCTACCCATACCTGATGGCCCTGCTGAATCTGTGTCGATTGATTTAACAGATTTAGGCAAGACCACCCCTCGTGGCATACGTTAGGTTATGGTCTGCGTGGACAGGTTCTCCAAATACGCAGAGTTCATCCCCTTGCCGGAGGTAGCCAGAGTCTCGACTGTGAGAGCAGCCTTCTCAGAGAGGTGGGTCACACACCATGGACCGCCCACTTCTATAGTCAGTGATAGAGACCCCCGATTTTGCAGCGATGAGTGGCAGTCCTACTGTAAGGACTACCTGCACTCACGATTGGACATGACTTCTGGTCATCATCCTGAAGCCAATGGTCAGGCTGAAGTGATGAACCAAGTCCTATTCCAATTGCTGCATCCTGTCATCTCTCCAGATCAACAGGACTGGGATCTCCACTTGACTCGGGCACAGCTTGTTTATAACATGTCTGTCCACTCCTCGACTGGGTTCAGTCCATACCAATTGCACTGGGGACGTGAACCACGGCAGCCTCTCGATGATATCATCGATAAGGCCAAGTCAGACCTGACACCAGACACTGCAGAGTTCACCAGACGCTATCGCATAGATGTGGAAAGAGCACGGGCGAACTTGTTCAAAGCCCAAAAGGCAATGATTGAACAAGCTAATCGCCACAGGCGGCCTTCCCCCATCCGCACTGGTGATTATGTCTGGGTAGCCAGTTCTGAGCTGTTGAGGGAGGAGGATATCTCCCCCAAGCTGTTGCCTCGTTACTTGGGTCCATGGCACGTCTTAGATACAGTGGGCGCTGATTCATTCGGTCCATCGTATGTTATTGACGTCCCACTGCATCTACGAACCTACCCGGTCTTCCATGCATCTAAGTTGCTTCCCTTCACCCCAGTTGATGCATTCCCAGACCGACCTCGTCAATTCGGTCCACCGATCCCTGGCAAGGGGTATAACGTGGAATAGATTGAGGATGAGTGGGGCATAGGCCCCGATCGACAGTATCTTGTGAGGTTCGCATTCCAGCCTCCCTCTGAGAACAGATGGTTCTACAAAAGGGAACTTCTCAAGATAGCAAAGTCAGTTGTTTTACGATATGAAGCGGCTCAGAAGGGCAACCTTCCTCGCCGTTCACCTCGTCTTCATCCCTAGCTCGGAGGTCCTCGCTCCCCGGGGGGGTAAGCCTGCAATGACTTGCTGATTTCGACTGCCGAGACTGACTGCGAGGTTGTACAGTTTACCGCTGTGTGTGTGTTGTGTGCTTTGCTGTGTTTTTTTGTTTGCACTGAGGGCCGCCCGCTGTTCTAAGAATAGCTTAGGCTAACAGCAGTAGGGGCTGAGTGGTTACCGGCCCTAAGTGGCCCTGAGCCCTAAGTGCAGCAGTAGGGCCGATTTCGTAGAGGCCGAGTAGGCCC